AGATACACAATTTAATTGTAATTTAATCTGGCTCAATAACTCTATCATATGAGGAAATAGAAATGGGAAATTATAGTAAAGGTTGAAATCATAAACAATTACATAATTTACATAATAATAACTGCACATATCTTTGAAGAATATTTCCTTTATGTACTCAGTTTCTTTTTTCAACACGTTTCCTTTTCATTTTAGAATTTTTGGATTTAATTAAGGATTTCCATTATTCTAAAAAACACCAAATGCATTAAGAATGTACAGAAAAAGCGGCTAATTTTATTTCTTTAGTAATATGAACATTCGGAAGCAATATGAAATATATATAGTAAAGAATGGTTACAGAGCTGATGTGGCAGAATTTCTAGAATTTAGTGACACACCGAACAACAAAATCTAGAAATGGCAAAACTTTTAGAATTTAGAGCAAGCATTGGAAGCAGAATTTAGAAAGGCAGTAGGCAGCAGAATTTAGGATCCACAGAGATTGCATCAGGTGGGAAAATGCCTAGTGCCAGCTATGTGTATGATGCGTTAAGAAACATTAGATGAATCTTTCAAACTGTAAGTTTTCATTTTCTTTATTAATAAAAAAATCCCTTTCTATAATGCCTGCCCATGTCATAAGATCAGAAGCATTTTTGATATTTTCCATGCTTCTGTGTAGTGAAAAGTATAGAAAATAAAGAGAAGATAAACATGTTAAGATTCTAGTATCAGAAGTAATACATTCAAATATTATGTTTTCATTGTTCTTCCAGATGTTCTCCCAAAATTAAGAAATTCATTGCAAACTTTCTGTAAAGTACATCCACTACGTGTTGATAATATGGAGACATTTTTTCATTTTGTCACATATTTCTCGAATCTTCTAGAATCGTGAGTCTATAAACCTTGCCTTCAAATCCTTCTAAACTTTCCAAGCTGCGATGTCTAAAATCCTAAAAAAAAATTATCCCTACCATTTCTGTAACAGAAAAAAAAAGCCAGAAATATTTTGGAAAAAAGTAGGAGGGAAAAAGTATAAAATTAATTTTATAGAGAAAACTGATGCACATTCTGAAAAATTTGAATATTCTGAGACAATTACATGGGAAACACTCTTACAATGAAAAAATTAAAAACAAGACATTTTTAATTAATTACATACCTAATTTTGCTTTTGCTAAGAGCTGTTTCGTAAATTATGCTTTATAGTATTATACCTTGTTTATTTTTCAGATTTAAAATATTGTCTAAGTTGCCAAAATGAAACTTTATAATATGACAGTTAAAAATAAAAATGTTTTATTTTAATGTTATTTTTAAATATAATACCATTATTTTAATAAAATTTATCAATGTTATGATGTTTTAAAAAAAAATTGTCGAAAAATTCTCAGATTTTGGAATTAAAAAGTTTCTACATAAACTAATCTTAAAATCGCCAAAATGTTGAAAAGTGCCAAATTTAGAACCGTTTAATAAATGAATTCACATTCCCAAAAGCAAAAAGTTGTTTAAGAGCTTTTTACTAGAAAAAATGAATTTCAAAATGCTTATGTTTCATTTCTTGCTTAGAAACTCGAGTATCCCATTATTTATATTAGAAATAGAAACAAATTATAACTCATGAACCCATTCAAAAGATTACCATATATACGGTAGTGAATCACCAAAAATATTCCTCAAAATGCTAATTCACACTCTAAATGACATTCGTAAAAACAGACGGAAATTTCAGATGTTTAAAATTAAGGACCTTCTGTTGATTTTGGCCAAAATTAAGGACTTTTTTAAGGACCAAAAATCGATTCCAAAAAGTCTAAGGACTCTTAAGGACCATACGAACCCTGTTTTCATTGAAATCTTTGAGTGCAGTGTAAATTTCCCTTGCAATGAAAGAAATAGTAGTAAAATTTTGCCATTAATTTTTGCAGGAATACAAAATGGGACAACTGAATTTATTATTAAAATGGTCAACATGAATTTTCCAATGGAATGAAAACAAAAATATGCTTGTAAGGGAGTCTAATTGATTTTCAATATAAATACCTACTGCATGTACATAATAAATAATGTTTTACAATTATAAGCCATCATTCTTTTTCTTCTATACCAAAACCTTACAAATTGCCTAAAGTCACTGCACTAATATGTAGAAGTACCAAAAGTTTTTAGTGAGTAATTCTGTTTCATTTGCTGTTTACTGAATAATTTAACTAAAAGGTATATTTTATTGTTTAGAAAACTTTTTACCATAGCCAAAATTATTTATGTTTTCTTGCTGGAAGCATCAAATTAGATATACATATCTTTCCAGCAAAAAACTGCTTGGTGCAAGTTGTGCTATAATAGAACATACAATGAATAGAATGTCTTTTATGCAAAAAAAGTTGCAAGTTGACAGTTTAAAAGACTTTTTTCTATTCCTGACTGCAGTTTTTCCACAACTCTATGTTGTCCATCAAGTTGGTTTCTATTCTTTCCAGAGAGATGCATAATGTTCCAGAGTAAAATTAAAATGTCAAAATAACTCAAAAGTTAAAAAAAGTAAATAACAATTCCATTTTTCACATAACTACATTGTTCTTCATTTGAATGGTAACTTTCTCATATACTATCAACATGACTCCTTCCAATTTTAAATGAATAAATCATTTACTCCTATTAAAATCAGTTTACAATTATAATTAAAAATGGAAAATGCAGAATGTTTTGCTTTCTTGTAATGTGGTGTGAGGACTAGCCTGTAGAAGGCCTGAAGCCTGAAAGAAGACTAGCCTGTATCTTGAACAAAAGTTTATAATTTCTATATCATACGAATACACTTTCCTGAGCAATGAGAATTACTTAACTTTTATAAGTAACCTATACAGAAAAATCTCAACTATCCAGAAGGTTTAGGAAATGCCAAATTACGGTCAGGTGAATGTATAAAAAATGAAATTCACATTAGAAAGTTAAATTAGTGGGAAAATTTATGCTCTAGAATTATAAAAAAAAAATCACCTTATTGGTTAAAAACCTAGCTGTAAAATTAAGATTCTGAAAAAAAAATTTTTTTTAGCTTTATACAAACCAACGCACTTCATAAGACTGATCTCGTTATGAAATCCCACCACATACGAGAGTTTGCTGAGATATCGCCAATCATTCCGGCAGAAGTTTAAATGAATAAATTATTCTTTATTTAGTTAGATAATAAAAAGATGCAGATTACAGATACAGTATTTTTAAAAAACACTTAAAATGCTTATTCATAATTTTTCACATTATGCCATCATTCTTTATCTGTTTTAGAAGTCATGTATCGTAGCTTTTTTGATGGCCAGATCCTGTAACTTTGAAAATATTTCACTTTATACAACCCTAAATATTAATCTTTTTTTCAAAATGAAATGAAAAAATACAGCTTATATCTTTCTTTACAAAAAGTAAACCAGCTTTTTGAGAATTAATCGAATTTACATTATACCAAAGCAGTCTTCATATGATAAGTTTTGTGACATCTTGCTTATCAATTACTGGTGTTACATCGCACTGTTTGGCAACAATGTATATATGTTAAAAGCATTACAAGCTCAATAATGGCATTACAAATATTTCATTCACCAAATTTTGGGGCGAATTTTTTCTAAAATTCTAAAATATTCAGTTAGTTGAATGCTAAATAGTCGGGCTTTCACTGTATTATAAAGAACTGTAAAATTCTTGTTGATTTATTTGAAACGTTTTCTTCTATCTCAAATCTGTTATTACTTTTAGAACAATATAATTTACTTGCAACTCGTAAAATTCGGAGTTTACCAATACAAAGTTTGGCAATCCCAGGTATATGGTAATATATTTTATAATTTTACTTTTTTTTCTCCTTATTGTATTTATGGAAAATATGTAAGTCCTGAATGCCACAGATTTGAAATGATTATTCATTTAATTCAAAATGCAGTAAAAACAGTAAAAACTTCTCAACATTAACAAATCATTTTCAGGTACTTTCAAAGGACTTGAAAACAATATTAAGCATTAAAGGGCTTTTTGAAGTTTTCAAAAGAGTGCACAAACCATGGCTATAAGCTTCTATGTGACAATTTAATTAATCGAGCACTTTGTAAAACATTTAGCAGTACAGGATACTAACAAATATTTAAGAACCTTCTCATGTTTTTAAAAAACAGAAAATTTAGACAAATGTAATATTTCACAAAACATTTAGCCACAGAGTTTGACTTTATGTATTTAGGTCACTCTGAAACTTTTGAGAGTTCTGTAAATAAAAAAACCTGAAACATAAAATATTTTGTTCTTTAAAGAGGAAATATTCTACACAGCCACACACTCATAATGACTAACAGTTAACTGACAATGGCAAGCTCATCTCATTTTTCTATAGTTGATACTAAATTCCTAATGGCAGATTTTTTTTTAAAAGAAGCATTTTATAATATATCATTTAATAGTCACTCTTGAACAGTACATCACAAAATGCTTGCCTAATGTATTTGAAAAAAATATTAATTAGATGACCAGAAATTTTACTAGGTAGTTCTATTACATCATGACAATGCAAGAGATTTCTCAGTACTTCACACAAATACTTCAGTCGCTACGGGACTCTGAGATTCAAGTTCTTACTTATCCTCCTTATTATCAAACTTTAGTTTCAGTTATTTTTTATCATCCAAAGCAAGGAAAATATTCCTATCAAATAACTGACTCACCTGAAAAGGCTATGCTGGTCAACTGAGAATTTGCAGATAATAATCCAAAGGAAAATCAGATGTAGCATTTAATTAGTTGTTAGAAAGAATGAGATTCTGTATTCAGCACAACACACAGTATTATGAGAAAATGTAACCTGAATTGCATAGATTGATATTTATATATTTTAATACAAATTCTTAAGACTTTCAAAATGTACTTTGTAACACTGAAAAAATGCACACAGATTCATCAAATTTGTGTAATTTAAAAAATGGCAAATCAATGTTAAAATCACATTACAATTAAATAAACTTTACCATATCACCAAGTATAATTTTCTCAAAACGAAAACTTTGTAGGTATGATGGCAAGCTTCCTCTGATGCTTGGCTCCATAGTCTCTTTTAACATCTCCTTCACATAAATTCCAACATATGGCCAAAGTTGCCTCAATATCTAAAATGTATTTAAGTTATAATGATTTGAAAAAAACTACACAAAATATAATGCATGGGAAAAAACTTAGAATAAATTATTTAAAAACAATTATAAAAAGTTATCATTATACAGGGTATTTTTGTAAAGGGGGAGTGCACATATCAGCATAGCAAAGCGGTATATACAGTCAAAAGTCGTTAATCCGGACACCCATAATTCGGAATGATCTATAATTCGGACATCAAAACTAAAAACTTTCTGCGCATGCGCCGCTTTGACACATGCGCAGAGGCGTTCACGTGTGCGCGTAAGACCTTTTACGACTGCGCATATGAGTGTGCGCAAGTGCAGAATACGTTTTCGCGTGCGCATTTTATGTATAATGGACGTATAAGCTAAATAATTATCTATTTCAGTTAATGTTGATGATTGCGTTGTTCCTTAATTTTCGAATTGCATCCGGCTTATTATTTTTTGCAGACTGTAAGAGCAATTTTATAAAAGTAAGCTTAAACTTTCGATTATATCAAATAGAATTTCCGATATATATTTGTTAATATGTAAAGGATCTAAAGCGAAAGTATGTTTTGAAATCCGAAATCTGTTTATCAATTTCACGCTGCTCGGCGGCGGGCGCGTAATGAATTGGAAGTTTATTTGTCAGCACTATCCTTATCTTCAGCGCAGATGTTTTTATTTTATTTGGCTTATAATTCCTTACCAAATGTAGTATTTCATCTCGATATGCTTCGTCTTTGATATGATTTAAAACAAGTTCCTTGTCATTATAACTCGCTTCCGATAGCGAAGAAAAGTGACAGAGGTTATTGAAAACAAAAAAAATTTCGATTGACAAATTAGTCGGTGTTCTTGACACAGCAATTATAGGACTTGAACGGCGGAACTTTGTAACTGAACAAGAAATTATGTCTGTTTAATAGAATTAAAGAGAAAGTATTATCACATGAAACGAAGCGAAACTTAAACAACTTACATTGAAAGAAATGTTTAATAAAGTAAACAAATAAATATTAAGCTTTTTCTTTTTGCAAATTTTGATACCCTTTAGATCATAATTGTTCTTTATTTCATAAATTACGGTTTCATATTTTTAATTTTAAAATTTCTGCATGCCATCTTACGAGATTTAAACTGATGATCTATAATCCGGAAAAATCGATAATCCGGAATCGCCAAAGTCCCAACGAGTCCGGGATTAACGACTTTTGACTGTACAGTGTTAAATCAGAACCTTTCATGAAAGCTCATACATCATTTATTGAGCTTCCATTAATCAGTACCCATGTTAATATCTTCCAGTCCCTAAAGCTTTGTTCACATGGTGGTTTTAAAGTCATAAGGGTTTAAGCCAAGCTTCATTGCCAAGCAACCAGGTCTTTCTATGTAACAGAAACTGGTTTAAAGATTTTGTCTAAAAGTTCTAACTTTTCATCTTTATGCCAAGTTGTTATAATAATTACCAATTGCAGTGAAACAAACATCAGTTGATGTTTTGCTGAGTTAGCTACACACATGTGCAAGTTCCCTTCTCCGAAAGAATATGGCTTAAATCTTGTTGAACAGATGTTAACGGATTTAATGACTTTTAGGCCATAAACTGCAAAGCTTAACCATCATCTGAATGAAGCCTTAAAACACTACCTGTTTCATTAATTTTTAAGTGACATTTATGGCTTAAAAGTCATTAAATCCGTAACAGGTATGAATGGATTTAATGACTTTTAGGCCATAAACTGCAAAGCTTAATCATCATCTGAATGAAGCCTTAAAACACTACCAGTTTTATGAATTTTTAAGTGATATATGATACCTTTTGTAAATAGATGCATTTCTTTTGCAATGAATAAATAATTTGCAAGTTGTGCAAATGTGCAAACCAATAAAATCCTTATGCCAGTTCTCAGGGATGAAACTTTTCTGTATACTATTATCACCAAATAACTAAGCCTGCTTGCATGATTTTCAATAGTAACAATGATACTGCATAATTTTTTATAAATTACTTAATCATTAAAATAAGTAATTAAATAATTAATAACTCTTCCCCAAAGAGACTATTGCTTGCAAATCTTGCATTTATATAAAATATCTTGCCTTTAGAAATAAAAAACTTGCAACCTCCCTTTTAATATAGAAATGTTTATATGTCTAGCATCTTATGAATCTAGTATCATGAAAAAGTGATAATTGTTTAGAGAAATAGCAAGGAAATCCATAACAAATGAAGATTCTCAAAATATTGCTTTTAAGGAAAATAAGTGGCGGCTTTGATGATAATAGATAAAGGATATTTTTAGCAGTTGATTCGATGAAAATACAGTCTAAAAATTGCCAAGTATTAGGAATGGAATATTGTTATAATGCTGCTGTTTTGAACAGGAGCTAAAACTTCAATGATAACATGCTACTTATTACTAAAATAAAGAATAAAATTATTAATGAGTAGCTAAAAAATTACATTTTTGTTGAAGGGAAGTTGAGAAAGTGTTATATATCATACAGAGCTGCAATTCAAACTGACAAAAAATACAATTCACATGGAAATATTTGATCAGTCAACTAAAATTGAAGCAGCAAAAATCAGAATATAAATGTGTTGGGGATAACACTTAGATTGTATGAACATCCCATTACACTGAATGGAAATACTGAGAAAACATTTCTAACGGTAGGAGTTTGAGAAGACAATAAATTACTTAAAATATGTTTTTTAAATAATGACAAACTATTACCTAAAACTAACATATCACTTGCATACAAATCTGTTTATTCTGGCCGCTACCATAAAATATCACTTCAGAAATTCCAAAGCAACTTGCATTTATACGTAGATGATTGTTTTTGATTCTGATAATTTCAAAAGAGGTACATTAATTGATTTTACTGTTATAGAAATATCTGTTTGCTTGCAGAAAAGTCCCATTCCTATTTAGCATCTGGACTTGATGATGCTATCAGCATAAATTAATGGAAACTTACAGATCATTGGATATGGATGAACTGTGCCCTCAGATTCACCTTAGATTTGTATATATATTCTCAATATTAGGGCTCACAATGCAACAGACTCCTTTTATGCTTCAGTTATACTTTAAAAAAACTATCCTCTGCAACAGAAATATACAAAACAATCTGCTTGCTCAAAGAAACAAGACATGCTTATCATTTGGGACTCAGAGCATGCTTTTAGTTCAGTTGCTAAAATACTTGTCTATTAAACTATAAAAAGCAATAAAAGATATGATATAAAAACTATTATTAAAATCAACAATCTCATAATATTATTAAATACACAGTTTATTGTAAGAATTCAAATTCTAATGCAGGAAGTTTTGAGATGATTAGGATAATGAGCTCCCAGCATATAATCAATTCAAAATTTCTAACTTAAAGAAAATACTAATTGATCAATAATAGTTTTCTACTCTTGAAATACATAGATGATTCTTCACATTCTTTTACAAGCCACTCCTAACTCACGTGGACTACTGCCTACTTTGGAAAACTAAGCTCCAATGGTGAATTTAAACAAGCTTTATAATGTCAAAATGAAAGATTTCCCTTTCCCCCCCCTCTCTTTCATTCTTAATGAAGAATTCTACACTAAGAAACATAAAAGTCACATCATGTATATTATTTCTGTAGCAAAATTCCTTTCTTTCTCTCTCTCTCTACCTATTCAACGAAACCCATCAAATCTTTCTCGAGGGAGATGAAAGATATCCAGAAAGAAGCTTAACACTTACGCTGCCAGTTATGTGAGGTTGTATTGGTAGTTAACCCTAGAATACTAACCTTTTACATTTAGTAAAGGGTCCTGAAAGACAGAAAATATCCCACATACAATTACAAGTGCATCTTAAATACAAAAAAAAAACATAATATATTTGAGTGATATTGGAGCTAGTATGCAAGGTTTACAAGTTACGCATGCATTTCATTGTTGTGTGAGTAAAGTTTATGCAGGTTAGCATTCTAGGGTTAATGCTGGCTGTGTCATAGAAATAGATTGTACCCATATGCCAACTTACTTATTAAAATAAACATTTAAAAGTGTGTGTGTGTGATTATGGCAAAGCCTCGAGGGCTATCTGCCTAAGGGAAGGGATGCCTTCATGGAGGACTTTCTAAGGGAAACTGGCTCGTGTACACGTTACACATGGGGAAAACCACGAAAACACCCATGCAGCCAGCCTGTTTGCGAGATTCAAACCTTGGACCGAACTACCAGTGTTCAGCGACTTTTACCGCTCCGCCGTTGGTGGGCCTGCGAAATATTTCAGAGGTAATAAAAGATGATTATGTGCACCACATTCAGGACTTGTATTTAGATTTGATGAGATCTGAAGCTATTTAAGATATGGGGCCCTTTATGACGGATATGACTTTTTTTCCCTTTATATGGGATATACTACAATTTTTGAAGGTGGCCCCAAGGGGCCCTAAGCTATAGCTTGTGCAGCTTATACGTAAATCCTGCACTGACCGCATTGATTACTAAGCCTTTAAAAGCATGGAACTTTATAACTACACACCAGCATGTGATTGGCATTAGAAGTAAAATTACTTCTGTAATATCACATTACGTACTGGTGCGTGGCATTTAAAAGTGAATCAAAATAAGTAATAGCATGCATTATTTTGGTCTGAAACTACATCGCAAACAAATATGTATATTCCAAATGAATTTATTACGAGATAGTTACAATGATATTGCAAACTATATATTTCAGAATGTTATTCGTGATGATCTTTGTACGAAATGAAACTTTGTTTCCATTCCAAACCATGCATGCACATTTACAACCAGTTTCTAACCTTCACTCCATGCCAATACCAACATATATATTCAAAACATAATGGCGACTGAACTTGAAATATCTACTATGAGACGTTCCTTCTCCCATGCCAGCGCATGACTGGCACCTGAAACATAACCCCACACCATATGCAAGAGCGTAATTAGCTCTTCAGCCAGGGGCATAGTTAGAGGGAGA